TAACATTGCAAAAATCAGGCATATCTTGCCTCAAAACGATGCAGAGAAACTAGTCCATGCATTTGTTACTTCAAGGCTGGATTATTATAACTCCTTATTATCAGGGTGTACCAAGAAGTCAGTCAAGTAGCTTCAGCTGATTCAAAATGCTGCAGCTCGTGTACTACCCAGAGTTAGGAGAAGGGACCACATTACTCCTGTTCTGGCTGCCTTACACTGGCTCCCTATAGAACACAGGATAGAATTTAAAATTCTTCTTCTCGCCTACAAAGCCCTTAATGGGCAGGCGCCATCTTACCTTAAAGAACTCATTATACCCTACTGTCCTACTAGGGCATTGCGTTCCAAGAATGCAGGGTTGTTGGTTGTTCCTAGAATCTCTAAAAGTACAATGGGAGCCAGAGCCTTTTCTTATCAAGCTCCACTTTTGTGGAATCAGCTTCCAGTTTTGTGTTCGGGCGGCAGACACCCTATCCGTTTTTAAGAGTGCGCTTAAGACCTTCCTTTTTGATAAAGCTTATAGTTAGGGCTGATTAGATTCAGCCCCTAGTTTTGCTGATATAGGCTTAGTTTGTCGGGGGACATCTTACTTCTTCCTTCTCTCTGTCTATACCTGTGTACTCATGTTCCGATTAACCCAGCTTCCCCAAATGTCTTTCTTTTTTGTGTCTATATACGCTGTGATCCGGAGTCATGGATGATCCTGCGGTCCTGTGTCATGGATCGCGAGTCCTGGATCTTGAGTCGTGGCTGTGGTCCTTGATCATAAGTCCTGGATGGATATCCACAATACGACACCCTCTGTCCTTAGACCCTCACATCGTACAAGGAAAAACTTCCGGAGAAAACCCCACAGTTTAAAGGGAAAAATGGGAGAAACCTCAGGGAGAGCAACAGAGGAGGGATCCCTCTCCCAGGACGGACAGACGTGCAATAGATGCCGTGTGTAAATTGAAAAGATAATACATTTGCAACATAGGTAGTCCAAATGTTTGGAAATGCATGTGTGTATAATAGGAAGATGAATCCACGAGGATATCCATCCAGGACTTATGATCAAGGACCACAGCCACGACTCAAGATCCAGGACTCGCGATCCATGACACAGGACCGCAGGATCATCCATGACTCCGNGTCTTCAAGAGTCTCCTGCAGAGTTCTCACACACACACACACACACACACACACACACACACACACACACACACACACACACACACACACACACACACACACGCTCTCTATAATTAGGAGCAAAGACCAGTGTTTCATGTTTCAGCTCCACCCAAATGAGCATACATGTCCACGCAAGCAGCCACTCATCACAGACCTCTGTGTGTGTGTCTGACTCAACCTCCGGAAATAGTAGAGGTGATGGATAGGAGTTTAAAACCCTTCCATGCTTGAAGATCATAAACCCCTTTTCACTCCTTTCTCAATTTCCCGCTCTCACTCTCTTTTTGTATCCTTCTTGCAATAAACCTGCTTTTTTTAATGCCTTCAGCCCCGTTCCTACTTTTAAAGCCGGCCTGTGTTTGTATTTGGCTCTGCTCCAAAGTGACTTTGCGGTTTGAGGACTGACATGAAGCTATAACATTGGAGGCCGTCTCCTCACTGCTACATAAATCCTAATTTCCTCAACAGCACGCTCTGCCACTCACAGCCTGAACCCCTCTTTGATAGTTTTCATAGGTTGGATAGGGGGAGCCGGGGCGGAGGGGGGAAATAGTCTCCTGCTGTATTTTGGCTGTGTAAGAACATGAGGCCATAATGCTTCCTGACGGAGTGAGGAAGAGGACAATTAGCAGGGAAAACAAGTGGGAATGGGAGTAGGGACAGGGGGTGTCTGGAACAAAGGAAGAAGAAGAGAAGAAAGAGAAGAAGGTGGAGATTTGCGGCTGTGGAAAATGAGTGAGACTGGGTATGAGCCTAAGCTGACTTCCATGCCAGATAGGATATACTACATTCTGAAGGAGGTTTGACTCTCAGACCTAGGTCATTCATTTGAATGAATCAGAGGAAGTGTATGTTTGTCTAAGCTTTCGTGTATCAATCAAGATGACCAATGAGACAAGAACTGCAGGAATGTGTAGCTGTAAGTCTAAACACTTTCCCATTCAAAACACTGTTATTTTATCCACAATCATAGCAGCAACTCTGATCCCTGATATCTGATATACCCACAATGCAAATGGCTTGCCTGGTGACTTAACTCTGAAACATTAAACACAGTAGTATAGCTATAATGCTTAGTAACCAAAAAGTAAGCTTTTCCAGTTAATTGACATAGTGTTATTATTTATTACTCATCAATACACATAGATTTGAATTTTTTTGTGTTTTTTTATGTGTATATATACAGTCTATGGTGCAGACAAGGGGTAGTAATCAGGTAGCTGATTAAAGTACACTTTGACACCAGATAAGGGCCGTTTAGCACTTCTGTCACTTGAACTTGATAACTCGTATTTATTGGGTGTTCCCAAGAGTGTTTTCCTTAGTCACAGTTGGTGTGTAGACTTTGCAAGTAAACGTTTTGACCATACCACCAGCAAGCAGGTCAAATCAAGTTTACATGTGCTAGTGCAGCTGCGTACCTAGTCTAGACAAAACATTGTATATCAGACCTCACTTGTCAAACTGACTTGCCTTTGCTTCTAAACTTGGCCATGGGATAAACACTGGGATGTTGGCGATACATATCTTTCAACAGCAAACACTACTATATATCTTTGCTACGTAACACACCGAGCAGAGAGTAAGTTATCAGGCTCATTTCGGAGGTTTTATGGCCAACGTTTCTACTAATGTTTTTCTTCTGCCTTTTCTTTTCCTTCTTCTTCTTGCAAGTAAGGGACCGAGGGCTGTCAAGGCCAGTGGCAGCTGTGCCTTCTTATCTAACTTATTATTTTCTTTATTTGTATTCCAAGTAACTAGAACTTCTAAACATACTATCTTGTTTGTATTTCAGAGCTGTTTTTGACTGCCTTCTTGTTTTCTCAATGCAGGTGCACATGCGGGCCGGACACGCAGTCACTCCAGGTATATGTGTGCTAGTGTAACTATTAACAGAAGACCTGAAATGACATGTGGCATCCAGAGTCAACAAAAATATTTTGATCAATTTTGCTAGTTGTTTGAGCTCGCCTTGGTTTGTTACAGACTTTCTCTGCACCACATGGTAAAGGAACATTCAAAACAGGCCAAGGTTTGCTTATTTAAAACAGGATTCAAATACATGAGCACTGCATATTTGAAGGTATTCTTTCCTTGCCAGAAAGGGAAAAAAGTAGAGGGCTACCAAGTAGAAACCCACATATGGTCAGAGTCCAGACAGCATGAACCTGCTCTTTATTAAAGGGGTCATACTGAACAAAGTTGTGAGGAAACTGAGATGCATGGACAGATGTGCAGCTGGTTCTACTTTATGTTTCATTCTGGACATATTTCACTTTTCTGTAACATACAAACTCAAGACAAAATGTCACAACAAAAGAATGTACTGCCCTAGGCTAAAATAACATTTGGAGGCTTTGTCAAACAACGCATCTTACTTTGAGTCTGAACTTTCTGAACTTTTGTCCTGGTTTGACTACGGACACATCACATGAACATGTTGTAGTGTTGAAATAGGTCTGACAAACAAATCAGATGTTTTGCTTTACCTGAGCTAGGTGCCCAACTTGCTGTGGGGAATCCAAGGTTAAGCTTAGATGAAGGATACTCCAATGGAAAAAAAAAAAGAGAAAGAAAAAAAACATCTACCGACAGAGGCAGACTTTCAGGATACCATCAGAAGAGAAAGATATCCTTTGATCCAGTGAGGTGAAGGTGTTCATGGACTAACCAGAGACAGAAAACTGCCTGACTAAAGCAGAGGCGGCGCAGTAAGTGTGTAAGGAGAGTGTGTGTGAGCTGTGGTGCGCAGAGGGCCGGGCGTGTTTCAGCTGGTACCGGTACTCACAGACACAAGGAGCAGTAGTTAAGCCTAGGGGGCTGAACCAGACACCAGGCGCTCTCCACACCTGGCTAAAGCCCTACCCCCACCTCTGAACCCTCCTCCCTCTTTCTTCCCATTTATACGTTTACTGTCTGCTCCTCCAACTTTCTGCCCTTCTGTCTGTCTTCTGTCTGTCTATATTCTTCATTCAAAACAATCCACTGAGCCCACAAAACTTCCTTTACTCCCTCCTCCACAAGCTATTTTTGACTATGGGCTTCCTTTCTAACTTCAGGCTTCCCTGCTTTGTTTCCCCATGCAGGAGCTAATTCCAGTGTGACTACTTTATAATTATTGTTGTTGCCTATTTTATACCCACCTTAACTGCATTGAGGACTTTCAAACCCAACAATTCCTCCCTTTACCCTCTCTGCTTCTACGTGGCACAGTCTGAGCACCGGGCTAAGGTAGTAGTTAAGTTGTTAGTGGAGGGCGGCGTGCACAGTTCAACTGCTGAACTTGTACATAATCACAGAGCGAGGAGTGGAGAGAAACAGAAAAACATCTCTTTGCCTTTGCTCTTTTCTCTCACCTCTCTCTGTCCACCTCTTCTCTCTCATACTTTTCTTTTCTAAATCATTTTTAACATTATATGGAGTTTTTCAGCAGCCCTCTCCTATTAAGTATAGATATTCTTCCAACTGCTCCTCATGCTGAAAAAAATCCTCACAACTGTCCTTACAGCAGAGATGATATATAGCCCAACTTTTTACAAGGCAAATGTACTAATGTGGCTTTTTGATATGACTTTCTTATTACATTAGTTCAATGCATAATTGTGTATCGCATTTTTACAAGTTTAGAGACTCGCAAGATACCGAGTAAAAGTCAGCAGAGGCCTACATTTCCTGATTTGTATTTCCTGAGTCAAGATTAAAAAACAAAGCCCCCCTATGCAATTTGTTATTTTCTTTTGACCTTTTAAACCTTTTTTCTAACGTGTGTTTTTCTGGTTTAGGAATTCACATAATCAGGGGTTAATTCCTCAGATTTAATCTGACCTTCAGGGCCACCAAAGACACAACACTGTTTTCAAAGTTAACTGATACAGATTGGTAAAATGACTGTAAAATTAGTGAAGCTCATCTTTAAACCTTTAAAACTACTTTTAAAACCTCTTAATACAACATGGTAAGACTGTAATAAAACTGTTGTGAGTGAATTTATAGTATATGTGTGTGTGTGTGTGTGTGTGTGTGTGTGTGTGTGTGTGTGTGTGTGTGAAAGAGCTCTTCTTTAAACGTTCAAAGTAGAGTGGTGCTGCAGGTCTCAGCACAGGCCCTATCTTCTTACCACAGTTTGCCCATGGGGTGTTTTTAAATTGTGTGAGTAAGTCTGGGTGTGTTCACCTTCGGATTGAAAATTAAGTAGCCTGTAGGCGTGGATTTATTACAACACACAGGTACTTTTCTCAGTATAGAGGGCCATACATGGGCCATACATGCAGACTGACCCCATCTCTGTTTTGTTCAACTCAAGACCGGATTGGAAGAACAATATTATTGCTTGCCTTCGAGGGGTGGAGATAAACGGAGGGTTAGGGATAGGGTTACCCCAAGTGTACTTGAGGTCCCTGTGGACCCCTCTCTGCCACGCGACTCCAGAGTTCATGAGAAACAAATTACAAACAGGTCAGCCACCCGCTCAACCCTCCTCACCCAACACCCACAGCCTGCAGGCAGACGCTGAGATTACAGCAGCCAGAAACCACACCCTGACTAAACACACCTGCACCAAGATGACTGTTTCATTAAAACAATAATGAAATAACTTGCAGGCTATGTGCTGGTTTTTATGGCACAGTAGCTCCATTGCCCAAGGTGCACATGTAGACCTACAGCACAAAGAAATATGTCATTGCCTGTTTAAAGACCTAAGTGACTGTAATAGGTTTTTGTTTGTATTATTGAATCCTATGTAGGGCTGCCTGCAACTAAGAATAATTTCAAACATGGATTGATTAGTTCATTAATCTGCCAATATTTTCTTGATTTATAGTATAGTCTATAAAAGTTAATACAACTGTAAAAATCTAATCAGACAACTCATCCCTTTAAGTGCAATCTAAAGAAAACGGTTAACGTTTTGCCTTATTGTAGTAGGAAGAATTAAGTCTGGAAATGTAACACCATAACAGAAATGATCAAAAAGAGCTTTAAAGGTGCTGATAGGGGGATTTTTTACATTCAGACAGACATATGCCAGCTGTTTCCAGTCTAAATGTTATGCTAAATCCTGGCTGCAGTACTGAGGCTGTACTAGATCTGACTGGAGACCAGCTAAACCAGTCTCCAGGGTCTTAGAGGCCACTACAGAATAATATCTTTGAGCTTCCCTGTGTCCCATCTTTCTAAAAGCACTGATGCTTTTGAAGCTCTTGTGAAGCATGAATAACTGTCCCTCTGGACCCCAGCAGCATCCCAGACAGACAGACCCCTCCACACCAAACACACACATCATCGTGCTGGTGGGTCCTGCCTGAGTGAATGTCTAAATATTTGACAAGCTTTTAAAAGCACCAGCCTCCTTTCCTCCAGGGTGTCTGCTAAATCCTGCAAATGTAAGAATTAAGAAACTCAGATGCCCTCTGACCTAGAAAGACACCGGGGATGACTTGTGTGAATGTTTCAGCACTGGACACTTGACTGCTTGTGTGCTCTTGTTAGCAGGTGAGCAGAGGGTCAATTCAAGCATGGTCCAATTTTACCACATGTGTATGTTTAGAAATAGGACTTAAAAAGAACAAATCACTTTCATTGAGGGATTGTATTGATAGTATCCATATCATGGGCATTCCTCTACAGACATAACAGCTCTTTAATGACAATAACATTGGGATTGTGCAGGATATGAGTTTGTGCCTGGGGTCTGGTATATCTTCAGCTCAGATGGGATTACACGGTTAATTCCAATTTCCTATCTACTGAGGGCCATCAAATCTAAGGCACGGTTCTTCTGAAAATAGGTTTTACCCTCGTAATCGGAGAGGCAGTTGGAAGCTGTGGCACTTTATCAGCATCAGGATCAGGCCATCTCTACTAAACACAGCAACCTACACTACCTGAACACACATGTGAGGAGACAACATGTGGTGAAGAGCATGTGTGTGTGTGTGTGTGTGTGTGTGTGTGTGTGTGTGTGTGTGTGTGTGTGTGTGAGACAGAGGCTCTCTTTCAAGATATGTTCCTCCACCCAGGTCAATTATATCACAGCCCATTGCCTAGGGAGGGAGAGACGGAGAAAGAGCAGACTCTCCCCAGACTAAAGCCAGCCAGGAGGTGACCTTCTCGTTTAAGTCGGACAGCAGGTAATGAACATTGACATAAACACACACACACACACACACACACACACACACACACACACACACACACACACACACACACACACACACACACACACACACACCACCCCCCCAAAACTGCCTAGTCCTACAGATACCATCTACTATCCTTTCCTCTCTCTTTCCTTCCTCTCATCCCCCATTTATTTCTCCCGCTGCATTCCTTACATGCCTCAGGGAGACAGGGGGGGGGCCTCCAGGACAGAAAAACAAAGACACACAACACACCCACAATGGCACTGGCTGCAGCCATTGTCTGTGTGCACTGAAGAAAAGGTCTTGGTGCTTGAATACCAAATGCCCCACCACACCAATGCCCCTTTATCAAACACACATTTGCCCTCGCTTACTTTCACTCAGTGACACAAGAGCTTGTAGTTTGCACTGGATACTGTGACTGCTGTAAACAATTTTCTCCTGCTCCTCCCTAAACATTTTCAAGGCTACACCCTTTTTGGACCCACACACCAACAATAAACCATAAAACCCTGGCAGGGATTTTGATTTAAACTGAGCGATGTCATGAGATTGTAAATTAATCATAACAGCTTTTAGAGGTTGAGCTGCTGGTGTGGCATGAAAGGCCTGCAGCGGCTCTCTGCAGGCCATCAATGCAACACTGACCTCTTCTGGCAGAAACACCACATAGCCACAACAAAGTACATCCAGATTTCTTTAAATTAGGTTAAACCAATACAAAACTGTAAGGTCAGAAACATACATTTGCTGTAGTGATTATCTGCGCAAAGTCATTAAATAATGTTGTTGGACAACACTGTTGGACATATATTCTCTGAATCAGTGTACTTATGAGGGCCAGAGTTGATAGTATAGTTGAAAGCTGGGCCACATAGCTTAGCGCTACATTAGCCGACTAATCCCTCTTTCTTACTCCAGCAAACCTAACCCCATGTTTCCAGGGTGCATCTGACACAGATAACTGCTGGATTACAGAAGCCAACCAGGGCATGTGAAAACTCGGTGAAAGATAACCTTTGACACGCAAGCAGCAAACCCCACAGGAACACACAGAAACAACAAGTGAAATAGAAACTTACGGAGGTGTAGTTGGTCTTGCCCATGATGTGGTTCTGGTTGTGGTTGAGGTTCTGGTTCTCCTGCTCTCTGCACTGCAGCCCAGCCAGGTGCCTCTCAAGGGCTGCCCAGTCCATGGTGGGCAAAGGCTCCTCCTCTACAATCTCGTCCTCTTTGTATCCCCCCATCCGTCCCCCAGTCCCTCCACTGCTTCCTCCTCCACTACCACCACCCCCGGCAGTGCTGCGGCTCCCTCTGCCTTTGCTGGAGCTGCGGTGGCGGGGCTTAGGAGTCCCTGTGCTGCTCCGTGGTGTACCGGGGGAGCTGAGCTGGTGGCTCCTAGGCAAAATCAGATTGCCGTTCTGTTTCAGTTCCTCTGGGACGGCTGCGACCGAGGTGGCAGTGTGTCCACTGGAAGCCGGGGGGGGCGGGACAGTCTTCACATCCTCCAATTCTTCAGCGAGGCTGCGACTGTTCACTGTCTTCCTGTAGCCGTCACCAAGAATGTCCTCCCCAACAACGCCTCCTCCAACTTCCTCCTGACCAGGACGCTTTGGAGAGGTGTAGCCCTCTCCATACTCACTCTCCCACTCCTCTATCACCTTCTTCTTATACTCTTGGTAGTCCTCGTCCTCCTCGTAGTCCTCTAAGGTGACAAGTTCCAGAGAGGGGGAGGATTTGTAGTCCTCCAAAGTGGCCAGGTCAAGAGAAGGAGAGCAAGGTGTTACCTTGTTGGAGTTGGACTCTGAGCTGGAGCGACTGGATGCATCACTCCCCAGGTCCATGCCATCCTCCCGATAATCCTGCAACGAGAAGGGAACAGAAAAAATAATGAAACTAAGGAACAAGCATGTGCAAGGACAGGAGTTTACAAATTGAGAAAAATAAAAGATAAGGGAGGAGGGAGAAGAAGAGGAAAATTAAAAGAGAATTTAAGGAAGTGTGTAGACTTAGATTAGTCACACGTTGTGGTTGGAGACCAGCAACCACAAAGCACTTCCTGTCCCGCAGGAACTTCCTTTCTGCTCAGAATTATGTAGTCGTCCCTCTAAGACTTGTTTTCTGGACTTCTGTTATACAACTGTACTGCACAAAAGCTTCCCTTAAAGACAAGGCTTACTCATTATATTTTTCTCTGGTAAATGTGTACATGTGTGTGTTTGTGGGCTTATGCAACACTTTACAAACAAAGAAAAGGCATAGTGCGTGTGGCTGGATATGTTAGAATAATATCCCACCACCCACTGCTACATCTGTACAGCGCCACAGGGAGAAAAAACAGGGTGGTTAGACTGAGAGTGGTGACACTGACATGTCAATACTCAACACACCAAAATGTGACATGCACAGATGCGACCAGGGTTCCTGATAACCTTGACTGTGTTGCTCCTGTAGAGACCCAATCATTGCCTGCCTGATTAGTTCACAGCTAATGAAAACGTGTGTGTTGTTTACAACCCACCACAAATCTCCACCTTACCTGAGTCATCATTCTTTTCCTACACAGGAGTGACATTTTTGTCTCACACCTCTTTTAAAAGTTAATGAAAAGCTACATTTCTCTATAGGCCAAGAGAAATTAACGACACGTTCCTACGTGATCGACATTATGAGCTGCTTTGGAAAATAAATTAATTATGAAGATTGCTAATTACTGGTGTAGACCATCAAGATTTAAGACCTTCGTGGATGAAATTGCCGAACTGTAATACAGTATTATCCAAATTATAAAAAGCTTTCTTGAGGTATGGCTACTTAACCACACCTGCTCAGGCACTGGCTGTTGACGTCAAAGCACAATGCAGAAAATATCTGTGTTAGGCAAAGCAATATGACTCAGCATCTTGGAGTCCAGATACACAAATTGCTGATGGGATTTAGAGACATAAGCCACTCTATGATGAGGGACTTGCATTTATCCATGAAATGCTAGTGTGTCAAAGAGAATAGAAGTGAAGCTGCAGCAGAGATAAAGATGGTACCAGCTGCTCATATTGGGCCATAAAGCCACATTTCACCTTGGCAAGGTGTTATTGGATACTTTAAACTATATCTTAATGTTATGGAATAGGCTACTTGGCCTTGGTAACAAATTGCATTGCCACTAGGGTGCTGGGACCTCCAGTGTGTTTATAGGGAGAGTTAAATTGTAGTATTATTAAATCACTCATGAATTAGGCAATGCCAAAATATATGACAACCGTTTTGCTTGTTACTCCAAAGTCTATAACATGTTTAATCCAATAATCGGTTCAAAGGGATCATTACCAACAATATGTGGGTTCTTGACATGAAAGACTCCAGGAGCCCCCTTTGGTTTTACAACTGAAGAGGGAGGATTTAAGGGCAAACAACAGCACTGGCCTACTTATGGCCTGATTCTCTGAAATCGCTTAGACCTGTTATTGTATAGCAATACGTACCTAGTCACGATTATGCAAATAACAAAAAAACACAATGTTTAGCCTTCAAAATGTAGCAGAATCCGAAGAATATATCAATGTTGCCTAGCAGTAGAGCGGAGAACAACCTTACCGACGTGCTCATCAAACGCGCTGGATCACCACACGTTCACCATTCCCCGTGGTGTGTGAGCCAGCCTGTCATCCTGGCTTTCTCACCGGCTCCAAGTGCTCTAAAACCCCGGTTACAGGCACCGGGAGGAGTTTTTCTCTCCAAAGTAGGAAAAACGCTGAATGAAAGCAGCGTAGTATCCGAGCTGCGTTCCGGTTTCAAATCTCGGTCAGCGATCCTTCTTCTTGAACTGTTATCCCGATCTGTGCAGCCCCCAAAACAAGCGCTTGTTTTCCAGATATGATCGCGTCAATACATGATGGTGACATGAGCCCGATTATAATAATGTAATCATTTAAAGTGTGTGCGTATGAGAGAGAGGAATGCGCTGCAAGGCGGCAGGCTGGAGCGGTAAAGCTGATCCGCTGCGGGATTAACGCGCAGCCAGGCGGACCATACAGGCTGGATTTGGCCACGAAATACATGCAAATTGACAGCTGCACAGATCCCCACCCCGCAGCCGGGCGGGTGTCTGGGGGGCGTTTAATTTATTTCAAAGACTACCCTCACAACTCTTCCCGTTGTTCTCTAGATAGCTTGCAAGGGGGCATCATAGCATACGCCCAGTCTTTGCGTGCGTCGAGCGTAGACTAGCCACGCCAAGTGGCATTTCTACACGGATGACAGTTGCATGATTTCATCTGTCAACATAGGCTATCATGTCATTAAGTGTTGACATTTGATTTGTAGTGCAAACTATACAAATGTGGATAATGCGCGTGAGTTTCCAAAATGTGGTCATTCATATAGGCTACTTAAATGATGTAATGCTCCCAAAAAGTCCCAGGAGGCACCCGATATCCCCCCGGCAACAGCGGTGACAGAAACGCCTTAAAGCAAACTATCGCACGGAGACTGACACCCAATACAGCCGTGACCCCCTTAGATTCAATACAGCATGTTACCAGACACAATTAAAGTCACCGCCTGCATTAACCTTACCGGGGCTACGACCTAAAATATACGATACTCACTGTCATCATCTTTGTAGCTTCCCCGTCTCGTCTCAAGACATTGTAAAGTGTAAATCCCAGCTGTTAGACAACGGCGACGCTGCTGACTTGTTTCACAGCAGCTTTATTTTAAGGGCGGGTGGCGGTGAGGCTGGTTTCGCTGGAGAAATTACAGAGAGCCGGTGGACAATTCAGTACAGTCATCGCTCTGAGTGTGTAGCCTAGTCCGTGCACAGAGGAGACAACCGAGGAGTCTTGCCTGATTGGACAAAATAACGTAGATGTCTTTAAATCCCAGCAGGTCAACGCATCTCCTATCCTCACAGTGATGTCCAACCAGCAGTCCAGTCCGCGCTCTCCCGCTCCCACGTCAGCTGGAAAATGAATAAGCTGGAAAATAAATAAACTGCAAGTAAAGTGCGTCCCCTTATATTGTGGGCACGTTTGAAGACGCCTTTATCGCTCAGTTATTACCTAGAAACTTAAAACTACGCGCACAAGAAGCATGCTGCTGCTCCCCGACTTGCACAGGCTCACTATAACCGTGGCTCTCTGTCGCAGCCTGCAGCTCTGAGGAGAAAGTGACGACGACAGAACACAACTAAAGCCCAACCTTCTGCACCCACTGACCTGGCAAATTACAGCGAGAGAGAGAGAGAGAGAGAGAGAGAGAGAGAGAGAGAGAGAGAGAGAGAGAGAGAAAAAGAAAAGAGAGCACTAACAGGTGAATTATTAAATATACATCTGGTGTTCGGATTTTAGAATATTTCTAGACCTGGTTTCCATAAAACCTCAGGGACCCCTGTTCTTATATCTGCAATTTGTCTTCACATAATATTACAAAGGCTGTCATTGTGTTCTTAATCAGAGTTTAGTAGTACACTTTATTAAAATTCATAATGGTTTTCAATGCAACAGCCCTGCAATGAATCCAGTCTGTGTGAAGGTTATAATGTTCAGATCTTGTCATTAAAGATGTGCAGCACCCACTTAAGGTGGCCACAAAAAGCACATTTAAAGGTTAGCACAATAAAGACACATGGTTATATTAAAAACATAACTTCTTGTTCTACACACATATAACGTTTTTCCAGACAATAAGCACAAATAGCAAGTTGATACAAATACACCCACACATATCACGTATGCTTAAAGATTTGAATTAGATTACCAGAGCAGTAGGAATCCCCCACAGTGCAAGAAAAGCTCACTATCTCTACAACAATCTATACCATTAAGGTTAGTCTCAACAATACTGACATTCTGCCTTCCTAGCCAATACTATAGAGTTTTCTAATTATGTTTGGCAGCATTTTAGACTTCTCTAACTCAACCCAGTACAACAACACCACAAACTTCTGCTTAGAAAAATGTTATCAGCCCATATCTGCACTTTGGCAAAAAAAGAGAGGACATTATAAGCTTCACAAAGAATCAATAAGCCAGTCAGCTAAAAATGAATCAGTTAATGATGATTCATTGATATTTTCAGCTATTTTTCAAGAAAAATGCCAAAATTACTGGCTCAACTGCTCAAATTGGAAGTTGTGCTGCTTTTCTTTGTCGTAATCGAAAAAGAAATGCAACTATATAAAGACCTCACTTATGGCCCTATTGAAGTTTAAGAAGAAGTTCAAGCTCAAAGATTATTCCAATAATGAAGGAAAATAAAACAGATTGATTGCTAATATATTGTTAATATATTAAAAATGTATTATGATATACTTAGTTTCAACACACACACACACACACACACACACACACACACACACACACACACACACACACACACACACACACACACACACACACACACACACACACACACACACAGACGACAGCTGCAGTGTTAGAGCTGAAGAGGGGTTAACACCAACATGGCATGATATCTTCATGTTGCATTCCGTTTCCTCTTACAGCAGCTGGTAATTTACATATTCCGGCACCAAGATCAAGTTAAATGTTAGTGATAAACTAATCTCATCAACAGCAGGAGTAAAACATACTCCAAAGCATTTGTATAACAAGAGTTATGATTAAGAACTAGTTCTGTGTCTCTCGAGTGGTAAGCCAAACATTTGGCGCTGTAAAAGTGCTGTGTTGTACTTCAGTGATGTTGTTGGGAATCTTTCTCTGCTCTTCACGGCGCAGCCTAGATTTGTAGTTGTTTGAGGGATGGGAGCTGTCCTCAGTTATGTTGAGCTGATTGTATAATAGCATCACAAAGGAAACAAGCAGTCCATATAATAACTAAGCATTACTTCAAAGATCCCTGGCTGAGCCTTTTCTTCGTACGGAGAGCACTCATTGGGATCTCCCCTGATGCCCCTTTCACATCAACGCGGTTCCTGATCTAGCTCCGTGCTAGTGCTCTTCTGGTTCGGAACCGTTTTTTCTTTTCAGCCCCCGTTTTGTTCACACCGCCCAGAGCCCGACTGGTGCTGCCGCTGCTGCGTCATGACGTCACCATTTACGTCGCTGATTTTCTCCCCAACGGCGCTCACAACAACAACAATGGGGGACTGCGTCGGATCTGGATTAATACTGAGCAGAACCCAGAGGTATCACGCTCAGTGGGGGATGGATGATCCCCGCTAAATGTCTCTTAACATTTTCCTGAAGCACTCCACGGACTCTGCGATGACAGCTTCTTCTGGTAGCAAGTTCGACTCTCTGATTGTTCTTGGAAAGAAGGAGTATTTAACTAGTGTCACTAATAGCGAAAATTCACTCGAAGTTCAAAGAGTTGGTTTTGCGGGTTGCACTTCTAACTGGCTCTAGGTACATTGATGTATCAATGGCTGAGATGTTATGGACAATCTTGAAGAAGAGAACCAAACGAACCAATCGCCGCCTTTCACTCAATTCCACCCAGCTCAACCGCTTGAGCATTCCTGTGACAATGCTGTCCCATTCATAATCTCGCACCTCTTCTTTGTACTGATTCCAGGGCATCACTGTCTTTATCCGTGTAGGGGTCCCAGACCGAGCTGGCGTACTCTAGTTTAGAGCGTACTAGGGCCACAAAAGCTGACTCCTTCAGTTTCTGGGGACAACGTTGCAGGTTCCGGTGTGGGAAGCCGAGCGAACGGTTTGCCTGTGTTACAATTTGGCCAATGTGTTGGCCAAACTTCAGGTTATTATGAATTTCTACCCCAAGATAAGGCTGGTGGGACACCTCTTTTAACACCTGGCCACATAGAGTATAGTTTTTAGTGTACGGGTTTGTTGATCTGCTTGTTCGTAGGACGTAGCACTTACTAGCATTAAAGCACATTCCCCAAGCGTTAGACCATTCCTGAAGACTGGTCAGGTCACCCTGTAGGTCTTCTTGGTCACTTCCATTTTTAATAGGCCTGTAGAGCAGGCAGTCATCCGCGAATAACCACACGGTGGATGCTACATGTGACGGCAGGTCATTAATGTAACATAGGAAAAGCAATGGACCCAACACAGTGCCTTGTGGGACACCAGAGTCAACATGAACTGTACCTGATTTCACCCCTTCTACGACTACTTGTTGGCTTCTTTGCATGAGAAAGGTTGTGGTCCAATCAAGTATTGGGCCGGTTATACCCATGTGGGCCACTTTTGCAACAGGCGCTTATGTGGGACCATGTCGAAAGCCTTTGAGAAATCAAGGATTGCCACATATATTTTTGCCATGAAGTTTCCCTATTTCAAGAATGTTTTCAAGAATGTTTTCACAAAGACTGTCAAAGAACTCTACCAGGGTTTCTTCAGTACTTTCATCTGCTTGGTAGATGATCAGGTTGTTCTCTCTGGATTCACGATCACCTGTTTCCTTCAGCTGTTCATCTCTAGCTTCTTTCATTATTTTCTTAAAGTTTGATGGTGCAGATGTTTCACTTGCTTTGGTCATTCCTGCCCAGGTCTTCACTGTGTCGGCATATGAGATTTGTATCTGCTGCTTTGCGTCTGCCAGGAGACATTCTATTTTTTGGGACACTATTTTCGAAATCGCCTCGGCTGTTGTCTACCGACAGTTGGCTAAATAGTTCCTTGGTAGGACAAGCTAACCTAGCAGCTTGGACTGCAGCAGGTTCACACAATAGGCAGTACCAATGCAATGAAGCAAATTAGTTTATGGCCTTACCCATGGCTGCCGGTATGTTCTGGCATTTGAAACAAGACCATTCTTCACACCGTTCGCACTGTATAAGCTATTTTCCCCCAGTGTCGCATTTCACACACTTATCATCCTTGTTTATAGTTTCAATTATACCACTCCTACCTTGGCCGTGCATTATTTCAGTGCAGGAGTCCGTAACGGGCGTGAGCTCAGTTGCGGGAGTTGTTCACAGTTGGCTAGTGTTGTGCCGGATGTCGGCACATTTGATAATATCATGAACTAAAGGCAGCAAAGAATAAACTGAGAAATATTTGGTAATATTGAAGTAAAGTAAAGAGTTATCTAAAGACCTTTATGGAGGATAAGCTTGGTTTTTAATCTCCTCAGACAATGTGAGGAGTTCAACTTCATGTGCCCACCACGCAATTAATTTATCATTAACTTGTCAACAGGAGGCCAATATTGTTTATGGCACTATTGCACATATACAGGCATGCGCAGTTTGTTTTATTTGAAGTATGCATTTCCCAAAAGTGTCAAAAGCTTCTGAAGACAGTTTTGACATGGCATCCTTCCCCAGTGAATTGTTCCACACAACAATAAAAGGAGAAACAAGCTTGAAGGCAGGAGCGCCTTATGAAGATGTTCATGATGTGTCACACCAAAGCTTTTTGATCCATGACTTTAACACACCTGGAAGAAGAAGTCAGTCTTTTTGATTGAGGAGGTGGTCAACAAAAGTTCATCCTGTTACACTTCAGCCTCAACATCACCTGTTTAGGTGTGGCGACTGTCAAACTGACATTCACTGGGATTTACCGATCACAATGGGTAAAAAAACGGAAGGAAAAACAGCCATGTCTAGTTCTACAGTATCTGGGAAAGCTTTGCTTTATCTGCCTGCCTAACAGTCCATCCGCAACAGCTATCTGGCAGGAATCACTGAAGGCCCATTACTGACAGAGAGATAAGGCCGGAAAAAAGAAAGCCCCACAGATAATACTAAAAAGTCAGAAAACATCTTCTTCTGCTTAATTCTGTCTCAGATGTCTCAGCGAGCATCTTGTCAGTTGGTGGGAAATTGAAACTGTCTCTGCCTTGTCAAGAACTCGGCAACTCTAACGGTGAGACACCAAAAGTGACCTTGGAGGATACTCCCTCTCACATGCCCCCTCTCCCTCTCTCTTTTCAGGGACCAAGGGGAAGAGCTCACCTTGAAGTAAGACTCGGGCAGAACCAGAATACAGAAAGTGAAGCGTCAGAAACATGACTGTGCTACAAGTCCCGACCTGCTGATGGGAAATTTCCTGCCTGGTTATGTGAGACACGGGGCCACAAGAGGCCAGAAAATAGACTCAATGCCCATGTCCATCACCATGTCATGTCTTTCAGACTAAGAAGAACCAATCATGGCTTTCATGACAGAATTCCCTATACTTCATAGAATTTTAATAATTTATCCCCTAAACACTCCCGCAA